GGAGGCCATAGATCGAACTGATAAGAAAAACGTGCAGATCGGAGATAAGCAAAGACCTTCGCTTGTTCCGCGTCACGGAGTAAGTGCCTGCATTACAAGTAGCAGCTGCTTCACCTTTATCTCTACCTAGAAAAAATGGGAATAGCACGGTCATACAACGTTGCAATGTTGGCACAGGAACGTCAATGTCTCCGGTGCGTTTCCCGAAGTTCAAGAAAAGAAACATTTTGCTTTCGGTAAACAGTGTTTCGCGACGACGTCAGTTCGTATCGCACGGCTCCGTATTTATTAACCGGACTTAAATTGATCTTCCCACATCACTCCTTGAAATAAATGCTCAAAATTAATGAAGGTCGAAGCCATCGACCAAAACGATTGGCCACGTACGGTAGTTGGAGTAGGAAACAGTTAAGTATAATCTGCTGCCGCATGGTATTATCACCAAGGGTTTACACGTTACCTCGCCATGTGCCAACCTGTTTGCCTTCTTCAAAGCGACTGGCCATTGAACGTCAAACTAACGTCAAACATTGCCCTTGCCCTGGTTTGTAGTTTGTGGAGCTGAAACGCCAGTCTCTAGATGCCCCTTCTTTGTTCGATGTGGACTATGTATAGAGGGAACGCCAATGTGTTATCATTGCAGAGCGATAACAGGTTTGCCCCGTTTCTTCTTAGGTATTTTTTTTGTTTCTAGAAAAATAATGAATTGAAGAAATGTTAACAACGAGAATATAACCCGCAATTGTTTACTAATAAAAGAAAGACGTCTGCAATTGTTATATTTTATGTGATTATTGCTTGTATGTTCATATGAATCTGGAAAATCAACAAATAAATAAACATATATCATGATCAAGGATAACTTGAATGGATCATAAGACAAGTCGGCACAGTAAATAGATGTCAATTACTGATCGCTGTAAAAACACAGATTAATAATCAGAGTATCTGTTATATCGCAAGCATAATCACCTGATAGAAAGATGCATCGAACGAACTAATAAAAAAAAACAATAAAAGAAGGCACTGAATGCTGATCAAAGTCAATTCAAAGATATAGTTGCTATGTATTTTCTTTTGTTAGCTGAGAGCGCTACCGGTCAGGCTTACTTATTTCGTGGTGATGATATATTAGCTTTAATGGCTGGCCAACACCTGTAGCCTAAAACGGCTCCTTCACGGTCGACAACCGCTTTCAAGCTTCAACTGTTGCAGACGTTTCGCGACAGCTAAAGAAGTAAAACGAATAGCGATCCTTTAACCAAGCTCTTAACAATAAAACAAAGTAGAAAAGAATACATTATGAGCCATTATGAATGTGCATTGATTCGCTGTTTCTCTACAACTTTGTAAAATGCAGTGTTAGCGAGGATCTTGTCGTTCGCGGTCACCAATGAAGCAGTCTATCGATCACCACAATAATTCAGCGAAGAATTGACGATGCGAGGCGCGTTTCCAGAATGTGGTCACGAGACACCCGAGCTCGTAGATATTCGTTTTCAAGGTAGCGGTAAATTATTTTTTCTTCACGAGTTGCGCAAGCGGTGCGGCCCAGAGAAGGCTTCTGAGGAGGAATAACGGAGCAGGGGAGACAACTCTTGACCATGAGACTGTATGGCTATAGGCCACTTTTTTTTTTTTTCATCTCAAGGCTGGGCAAGTGGTGCCCTGACTTTAGATGTAATCGCTGGATGCTGTCAAGGTTGGCACTAAGGCTTTGTACCACATCTTTCTTTTCATAAATAGAGGAGACAGTCTTGTCTCGGGTAAAACCAAGAAAGAAGTTAATTAAGCATCAAAAGGGATGCGAGGTGCCCGAAGGTGCAACCAGTTGTTCGTTAATAGCGATATATTCTTCGAAGTCCTGACACATGTAACAATGCAGCAACTTTCAGTTAGGAACTGCGCATGTCGTAACGTGACGGCACAGCAAAGGTGACAAGATTCGTCCGCTATGTTATGGCTTAGTATAATAAAGGCCATAGAATTAAACAAGCTCTATTGTCTGGCAGTGACCTATACGAGTCGTAATGTTTTGCAGCGGTACGTTTTCAATGCTGTCAATCTACCGGTTTTGAATTGCGCAATGTAGTATATGAGGATTCACGTACCAAAACAACGATACCGGAATAGGGGCCGCCATAGAAGCTTACTGCAAAAATTTAGACCACAAGTTGTTTTCTTTAATCAACGTTAACATCACACAGTACCGGGACCTATGACATGCCACCGCCATTTCCATACGACCTTCCTCACAATCATATCTTGCCTTCGGGACGTTCAACTTCAGATATTATAACTATCATTATGTGGCCGCTATCGAAGTGCGACCGCCACGGCCGGAAACAAACCCGAGACTTTCCTGTCAGCAGATGATAAATGGCGCACAAAAAAAGCGGCATCAAATAGATTCGGAACGGATACATTAAGAATCCCAGCCACGAGCACCATTTACGGGTCACATACATCGCGATAACCGATTATGTTTTGCCAATGCAGGTGAAGTGCCAACAAATATTGCATTAAAAGTACCTCTACTCATGGTACCTTCCACACTGCGACTCTTGATACCATGGTAACTGCAGGTGGCGCAATAGACCACGTTGAATATGCGACGTTAGGCAGCACGCACCCAATGATAAACGTAAAGGCAGACAGAAGTCACGGTGCGCTGAGCCAGGTCAGTGAACAGTGCACGAAAGTTATAAACGTAGCCTTCCCTTAATATTACCATACAGCAATTACTCTCAGAAGAATGCATTGATAAGCCGGACGGAGCATCACTCTGAAAACGGAAGTACGAGAATAAACAAAACATGTCCCGCTACAAAAAAATAAAGACTTTTTTAATTGTCCCCATAACTTACACGGGTCTGCCTCCCATTTCGTGGGAAGTTTAGTCGTCGTTCCACCACTGCGGTGCTCATTACCGAGTCATCTACTCACGAATGACATTTTGTTTTATAGCCGCCGAAAAAATAACACAGACTACTTTTCTGAAAACTCCTATAGAGAGATCTGTCTCGTGCATTCCTCCTTGTTAAAGTTTTGACCTGCTCTCCTTCCTCTCCTATTGTCTCATGAAGTAGAGGTATAAGACATGGTTTCTTGGTGTTGCATCTTGCCAAACAATAGAGAACCTGACGAAGAGCGGCAACGCGTTAGGAAAGCGAGCGTTCATGCGTGCTCGCCTTCTTCCTCCCATTGTTTGCGTCCACTGTCCGTTTCTTTTCTGTGTAACAACATGCTTCATCGTGAGTCACACAACATCGCTCCACTCGTACAAGTACAACCTTGGCATTTCTTAGTACTGCATTTACTCCCATAGAACGACGGTATTTTGTTCTCCACATTTTCGCTGCCTAAAGTCGACCCTCACGTTACAATCGAATACCGAAATAACTATCCTTTTTTTTTTCCTTTTTGAACGCAATGCGAAGTCAGCATTCGCGTTAGAATTTGGATCTCGCCACAATCGATTGAACACAGTAACATGACACGAGCGCTGATGCCTGAACATGTTAGAGCCGAAAGTAGGCGAGAAGTAACTGGATTGCGCGCTGGAAACGCAAGCGCATAGAGCGCACTCATGTGCGCTGTTTGTTTTGAGATCCATACGCATTATCAGCCTTATCTGTGCGATGGATTTGATTAATATGTGGAGTGTAACGTCCCAAAACCATCATATGATTATGAGAAACGCCGTAGTGGAGGGCTCCGGAAATTTCGACCACCTGGGGTTCTTTAACGTGCACCCGAATCTGAGCACACGGGACTACAACATTTCCGCCTCCATCGGAAATTCAGCCGCCACAGCCGGGATTTGATCGCGCGACCTAAGGGTCAGCAGCTGAGTACCTTAGTTACTAGACCACCGCGGCGGGGCATGTGCGATGGATCGAGAAGGCCGGTGTGATCATTGTAGTCGTATCGCTGATCTCGTTGCATCTCGCCGATATTGTCAACTGCGGTATCATGGGATTGACGCTCGCGCGATATTAATAAAAAATACTAGGGTGAACACATGAAAGCCAGACATTACAAAATTTACAGATACGTACTTTCCTGATTGTACATTTTTAACATGATTCACCCTATGTGAAAAAGGAATTTAGGTAATATGTTTTAACTTACTATTACCCTTGTCTTGTAACAGTGTCTTGCTAAATGTATTGCGTTTAAATACTTGGGCAGATTAACTTTCAAAAACTGACGGGCATAGTTCTCGAAACGAATCATATGCACAAAAGAAAATCAAGTCACGTTTTCTGCACGTATTTTTCACGCATGCTTTTGATACATATATATGGGAATGTGAAAGCCACTGGTGTTCATCTGGAAAGAACATTCAATTGATAACATCATTTTTAGTAAGTTTTTTTTTTCATTTCACGAAAGTTTATAATTAGAAAATGTCTCGTATCACACAGCACAGTAGTTCGCGCTGTCTCGACATCACTGCAGTCACTACACACTATAGTCAACCAACATGCCGAGCGCACACTTTTTCCAAGTACGGCATTGCAGGGACGAACAGGTAGCAGCTTTCCGACAACATAACTTTGCACGCTTGTAACCGGAATGTAGGTCAACAAATGTGTACATGGGGTGGCGCAGCCCAGAAGCTGAACAATACGCGCAGCAGAAAGCATTTCAGAGGATACCAAAACCCTACGAAAAAACGTTTAGGTTATGTTATCAATCTTGTTTTTCAAATTGTTGTGTTAGACTTCAGTAACTGCAATACTGATGTACCATAACAGTGGTTACATAGAAAGCGAAAAAAAATGCAATGAGCAGCGAAAATGAGATAAGAACATCTTGAAATGACCCTAGAAGTTTGGTTTCCTTTTAAAAAAATTGGAATGGCAGCCAGTGACGTTTGTAAACATAATCACGTTTCCCATAGCAACCCCCCATCTGAACAATTAACGCAGCACCGTGCAATGTCTGTTCGCGCAGGAACGCGTCGTTTGTAAGAAGTAATGTAGGCCGCTTACCTGAATTATGCGAAGCAACCACGCCAACGGCTCAGTCACTTCGTCTGGCACGTCACCTCCTCCGCCGGAATCAGAAACGCCCCGTTTGAGATGGAAGCCTCCAAACGATGGCTTCTTCGTCGAAAAGAGAAGCTCCGCTTCCTGTTGACACTGAAGAACCTCGCGGAGTCTCGTCCGGGGAGAACGGCGGACACAGTTCGCTGCACCGGCGACAATAGAGCGACCTCTCACACCGAAGTCGGTCTCACCAGAATGCCGTGCCGATACATAAACGAACGCCGCACACACACCCACATACGCACGACAACAAGTACGCCGCAGTGAAAACGAAGAACGCGACGAAAGAGGGGTCGAATCGATTTCACTGGGATTCACGGCTCCTGCAAACACGCTCGCAGTGAACGCGACAGGGCCGGACACTGCGCGCAGCGCCGGAAAACCAGTTTTTCCTCGCGCAAGTCGAATGAACGCACTCTCGCGTACGTATAAAAAAACACTGAAGGACAGCAACCCCTCCTTGGCCAACCGGCCAGCCAGTAGAGAGCGCAGCGCCGGCCTCAACACACGCACTCCCACACGCAATCTCAGCCGGCAATCAGAGCCGCGCGAAGAATCCCCTCTTCTCGCCGCACTCGATGTGTCCTTGAACACCGCGGGCGACCCACGCACTTCGTATAAACATCGGGCCAGCCGCCGGTGCAACGGCGCTCGTTCGCTTTACTGGGCAAGACCCTTTAGAGGACTGCGGGGGCATTCTCCCCTGAGCACCCTGGCCCTAAACTTCATACGCACGGTTGGCGCACGGACGTACAACACGAGCACTGCTGCCCATGCGCAGTACAGGCATGTGTTCGAAGTAACTCCGTGCTGTGCGTATTCGTGCTCGCGACCAAGCCGTTGTCTTTATTCAACATTCTTTATAACTACCCGACATTATTACGACCATGGTGGTATACCCTCGTACGGTGGGGGAATTCGTGCATCCTGAAAACTTAATCAGCCAAGGCGCCATGTTGGGTGAGTGAATGCGAGAACTTTAGATGCCTCATAAAACCTGGGAAGTAACCATCACTGGCGCCCACATGAGGGATGCACTAAATAACCCCGTTGGATGACGTCACATTGGTACGTTATCATGCCTTCACAAGTACCTAAAATTGTGTGACGTCATCAGGCTGTGACTGATTGATTGAAATGTGGAGTTTAACGTCCCAAAATCACCATACGTTTATGAGAGATGCCGTAGTGGAGGGCTCCGAAATTTTCAACACCCATGGGGTTCTGTAACGTGAACCCAAATCTGAGCACACGTTCCTAGAGCACTTTCGCCTCCATCGGAAATGTAGCCGCCGCAGCCGGGATTCGATCCCGCGACCTGTGGGTCGGCAGCCGAGTGCCTTAGTCACTAGACCACCGCGGCGGGGCATGCAGTGACTATGCCATCATCACACGACACACATTTTCGCTAGGTAAAAGGTCCGCCGATCCCGGAAGCACTGCAAGACCACGTAAGTTGTGAAAGCTTCCGGTGCATTCGATCCCTGAAGCAATCGAAAACTTTGTTATGCTCAGAATTTCGAATACGGGAGGGGGGCAATAAACTAAACAAGTCAGAAGAATAAAAAAAACACAGCATATTCATGAGGAGAATGATGATGAGGGGGGCGAAGCAGGCGGATGAAAGCAAGCGCTGATGGTCAGGCGGAAGCAGGGACAGATGCACGGATGCATGGATACACAGACGAACACACGAATGACGCACGCTTCACCCCACTCATCATCATTCACTCCATAGACATGCCGCGGCACCGTTTCTTATGACCGGCAATGCAATGAAACTGGTTACTACGATGATACGGGACATACGATTCATTGCGTAAGGGGCTTCACCCATAAAAGATTGCCTTCGCCTTCTGTTCTTTTCAGCGAAATACAATATCAACTGTGTGACCAAAATTTTATAATCTTTTCTATTAATATCGCGTCTGTCGCGGCCGCCCAGAGGTTCAGGCCTCGCTGTTCAGCTTTGTGTCACGTATTCGATGAAGGCAGTGGCATGTTGGTCGGGGTGAAATGCAAAACCGGGTCCCTCATGCACTTAGATTTAGGGGTGCAATAAAGAAATCCAGGTGGCCAAAAGTATTCAGCTACAACGACACATAATGTTTCCTAAACAGATCATCAAAGAAAAAAGAAAAAAAGAGAGAAAGGCAAAACATGAATCATTACTGGAGGAAAAAAAGAAGAACGTAAACAGGAGAAGGGCAACTTGAAATTCAGGAGAAACAAGAGGGCGGACAACAGAAAAATACAGACAGCACTATCTAGGCGTGCTTTTCTGTTTTTTTTTCCTGTTCCTTCTGCGCTGAAACAGTTCGAGGCTAAGGAAGTGTAAGAGGAGCAGGAAACTTTAACAAGGGACGCGGTTCTGTCACGCAACGCATCACAGATCACGCAACAACCATGAAATTTCGCTGTACACGGATCATGGGCAACCTTGCAAGCGTTCGCAAAAAACATGCATCCGCAATACGCAGGTTGGACATCTGCATTGCTTTCCAAGAGTTTATCCCGATTCTATATCGCGCACGTTGACCGTGAACCCGCGCACAGGTTGCACACGGCACGAGTACGTCACGTGCACCTTCATACTCAAGATTAAGCTTTTCTGCTAGCTATCTTGTACCATCATTGAAAACTCGTGTGTAAACCCATTTATTTTTACGTCCAGGTATACCGCTCTCTCGCCAGTTCCGGTTGGTCCGTCAACGATTTAGAGAAATTTTCGCTCTTGCAAGCTTTCGTTAGTCACGAACACAATCACATTGCAACAACACACTCAGTCAAATAAACGTTGGGCCATGTGGTGTGTGCAGAATCCGATGCTGGGAAAGACTTGAAACATGCCATGCGGAATTTCTGTTGGTATTAACATGATACTTCGATTATTTTAGAGCTATTGGCAGACTATGCTACTAGACCACATGACAAATTCTGAAGAGAGTCATACGTTCGAAACTTGAGCTTATAGCTTGGCTTGAGCTTATAGCTGTGGCCGCTCTCAACAGCTTGTGATTTTTGATGACCATAACGAATCACTATTTTCTGTGCACGTGTAATAGATCATACATACATACATACATACATACATACATACATACATACATACATACATACATACATACATACATACATACATACATACATACATACATACATACATACATACATACATACGTACGTACGTACGTACATACATACATACATACATACATACATACATACATACATACATACATACATACATACATCATACATACATACATACATACATGTACGCGTGCACATGTGCGTGTGTGTGTGCGTGTGCGTACGTATTATTGACGCTTAAACGTTGTTGTATATATTATTGTCATATCGACAACTGGAATAGCAGGCCAGGTAGTAAACTGGGCTAACAACTCTGGGGATGTCATGAAAAATTACCATCTGTCTGCCTATGTGGTATCTTTCGAGACACTCCAGTATTGGTGAACTAGTCATTTGCAACGGCTTTTCGTGCCATCGTACAGAAGCAAAAATATGCTTTCTGTAATTCATGGCGTTACAGTGGACAACTTATAGTGTACAACGTGTCGCAAGAGATTCATCAGTGCATTGCGCAACTGCGCGGGAGAGAGGCAGTTTAGTTAGTCCCGAAGAAGTTTAGGTGAAGCGTTTAGAAAGATATAGCATGTAATAAAAACCACTCCAATTGAATAGCACAATGGGCACCAGAGGCGCACAACGCACACACTATTTACCACATAAAAAGTCAAGTTAAGTAGTCTTGTGGCTAAAAAATAATCAATATTCCCTTTCATTTCGCTGGACGCGCCGGCTGGCAACAGTGCATAAAAGTAATGCACGTCATGGAGCCGTGGTTGACTGTCACAATCAAGTACATCATATCTTTTTGCTACTTTTTTTTTCGGAAATTTAGCATGAAAGCTTTCGTGCTTTCGTGAAAACTTTTCGAAAACTTCCGAAAGCTTAAACCACAAATATATAGGTGGAGCTTAACGTCTCAAAACCACTATATGATTATGAGAAACGCCATAGCGGAGGGCTCCGGAAATGTCGACCACCTGGGGCTCTTTAACGTGCACCCGAATCCGAGCACGCAGGCCTTCCGAATGTTCGTCTCCATCGAAATGCTACCGCTGCAGCCAGGATTCGATCCCGTGACCTGCGGATCAGCAGCCGACTACCTTAGCCACTAGACCACCGCAGCGGGGCGGCTAACGCGAAGGCCGCAAGATCAAATCCCGGCGGCTACAGCTGCACTTAGATTAAGAAACCCGTAAAAGAACCCCAGTTGATCAAAATTTTCGGAGCTCTCCACTACGGCGTTTCCGTCTCGCATAATCATATCGTGGTTTAGAGACATTAAACCCAGACATTATTATTATTATTATTATTATTATTATTATTATTATTATTATTATTATTATTATTATTATTATTATTATTATTATTAATATTATTGTTATTATTATCATCATTATTATTATTATTATTATTATTATTATTATTATTATTATTATTATTATTATTATTATTATTATTATTATTATTATTATTATTATTATTATTATTAAATGCGAAGCCTTTCTTGGCAAACTTCGGCGACTTTGAGCGTAATTATCTATCTATGTATCCGCCTACGGCTTTTAGCTCTCCTGGCCGTTTCGATAATGGTATCGACACCAAACTTGCTATGACATAACGTTATTGCATGAAGCACATAGTTGACTAGTCAAAAAAAATAATGATATGTATGTAATGAATGTCATGATTTACAATTATTGGTCCTGCAGCTCTTGCAGTGGTTTCGTTCACATGGCATGTTGCGAAACTGGTATGATATGGCATGATTGCATGGCGGACACAAGTGAGAGACCCTAACATAAAAATTATCACATGCATGCCATGTAACAACATAACTACATGGCACACTCAAGATGTGCTCGCGGCTGTTTCGCTGGCTTTGCATACACCCGATTTGGTATTGCGGTACGTGAATGGATAACAAAAATAAATGACCCATCCAAACGTGATAGTCACGACTTGTGTGTCATGTATCAACATGACTACACGCCACACTCATGATGTAAAATGAATTGCACTTTTTAAATGCAATGAATGAATGTTTTAAATTGAATGAATGAATCAAATGAATGTCGATGTAAAATGAATTGCACGTTTTAAATGCAAAGCTTTTCATAGCGAACTTCGGCGACTTTGAGCGTATCTATCTATCTATCTATCTATCTATCTATCTATCTATCTATCTATCTATCTATCTATCTATCTATCTATCTATCTATCTATCTATCTATCTATCTATCTATCTATCTATCTATCTATCTATCTATCTATCTATCTATCTATTCATCTATCTATCTATCTATCTATCTATCTATCTATCTATCTATCTATCTATCTATCTATCTATCTATCTATCTATCTATCTCTCCTGGCCGTTTCGAT